CGACCCGTGTCGCATCAATCAAGTTGGAGGAGGCAGAGGACTCGAAGCGAAACGAACTCAACATGCCACGAACGCTCTGCAATCGGGGCTGAAGCCTACAGCATGCTTACAGCTTGCCCACGCAAAGTGCATCTTGGTGGATAAAAAGGACTTGGACGCGTAAGAACAACGCACTCAACATTGATCACCCGGACCCGTGTGACTCATGGCCGTATCTGATGATTCTTTGGTAAAGCGTCCTTGCTCCTAGTAGTACGGCCAGGAGCCCCTAGTAGTGTTCTTGCTCCTGGTCCTAGTAGCGATGCCAGGAGCCCCTAGTAGCTTCTTGTTCCTAATAGCTTCTTGCTCCTAGTAGTAAGGCCAGGAGCCCCTAGTAGCGTCCTTGCTCGTAGTAGCGATGCCGTTTGCTCCTAGTAGCTTCTTGTTCCTAGTGAAAGCACATGGCAGGTTCCACTACATCTTCTCGCTCCGAGACTTGAGTCGGGTGTTTCAGGGAATTTGCCAAGCTGATCCTCAGGTGAGCACGTGACTTCCTTTTTGCTGAAACGTGACTTGCAACAAGGGTTGACGGCCTAGACAGAGCAAAGGGGCACAAGAGGCAAACACTTCATGCTTTTGGGTGTGCAAAGTGCTAAGCAAACACTTCTGTAACCTGGATAAATCGCCTAACCTCGACAATGCAAGCAGAGTTAGACAGCATTGGCATGCATACATTGGCAGCAAAAATAAAGGTGCTGCAAAGCCACCTTTTGTATCCTTTTGTGTAGGTTCTCGTGCTAGTGTTCAACCCAAGAACACCCAAAGCACACATCGGGTGGCAAGTGCGAAGCAGATTTTTGGACTCCAATGGCCGCTGTTGGCTGTTCAGGTGGTCAACAATGCAAGTGTTCTCATCAGGCCGGGATCGATTAAGTGACTCAAACGCAAATGTTCTAACCACGTCAGTCTTCCTTCTTGCTTTTCAATTCAGTGTTTTTTTTTTCTGAGTCGACTCTGCCCTCTTTCGTTTTTGGAGTCGAGAGGCTATGGCGAAACGAATGTACACGAGTGTATGAAGACCGCTTCAACGAGGATGCGGACAAGGAGAGCCATGATACAGACAACATGGGACATATTCGCAGAGTTTCACAAGGTCATCGAGAATCATAGACCCAGGGCAAGAGTCAAGCCATGCCCGGCCATTCTTGGAAGTAGACATGTATAGCCTTGAAACTTGAGGCCTTCTTGAGCGAGAAGCAACTACACAACATCATCAAGACACAGTTCCAAAAGAGTGCCTGGAAAGCAATTTATGTATGATGCATTTGGCATTGCTATGGTGGATTGCTCTGGACTGCAGGTGCTGACGTTGCTCTCCAGGATCCACTGATATGGGGAGATTTCAGGGATGCTTTGGACATCCTGGCGAACAGCTTAGCTGATGCTTCTTAATGTCTTGGAACCCTTGCTTCAATCAACAGAAGCAACGTAACAGAAAGTTCTTTGATTGAAGGTCAAGAGTGACACGCCGTACTCTGCTCCAAGAGTTTATGAGGAGATCATATCCTGGACTGGCCTTTTCCGTGCCCTGAATTGCCGAATAACACCTGCAAGGACCTCGGGAACTGGGAAGCTATCCGTCCAATCTTTGATGGTGTGCTGGAGCTTTACAATGGCAACTTGATTGCAGTTGTTGCACGCTGCCACGAGAATATGTTGCTGAATGGGGCCTTCTTTGCCAAACCTATGAATACGCAGATCTCAGATCTTGTCAATTGTTCTCTGCCTCTAAGGTGACAACAGTCCAATGAATCTGGTGCTTTTCAACGATGCCTTGGTGCTCCCTCTTGTGATTGTTTCGGCGAATTTGTTCTTCAAATGCGAACACAATTTGAAGTCACTTCAATATGCCAGGCGCACTTGCTTCGATTGCACCGCATCATTCGCCTGACTCGCGGTATGGCCTTGCTGATTGGAGTCGGTGGCAGCGGCATCCTGGCAGCAGAGGTGATGTGAACGTTGCAGTGTGCTTCGGCCTTTTTTCCCTTTTCGCGTAAGAACCTCCAATTCAACGTGAAAGGGGACTGCTTGTGACTGTCGGTTAAATCAGAGCATTCAAGACCACAGGAATTTTCACAAGGGTATTGAATTTTGACCCACACCATTTCAAAGTATACGAGCAAATTCACACCAATCATCTCAGACGACAACCGAAGCTGAGTGCTCTAACACCGAGCATTCGGAGCCTTCACCAGTGGTTTGTTGAGGAAGGATTCAACTGAACCTGGTGCTTACAAGATGCATGTTAATCATTCACAACAGACTTGCATTACAAGCATTTTGTGACTCTAAAAATTGTCATACGGAAGAATGCGTGCATAATTTACACTCCTCTCAAACCTTTGTCTAGCGCAGATCTCGGAACACTTCGTAGCCATGCAACACCAGGTTTTTCACTTGTCCATTTTGTACTGACACAACCTTCCTGCAGCTTCCGTTCCAAGAACCCATGCCTTCTTCATCAGGAAAATCCAATAATGAGGGTAGGATACGCTGATCTGCCATTCAGCTTCTCTCTTCAGGAAAGCAGTCCCTTACTCGCTTGGCAACCTTCACAGCTGGCAGCTTATGCGTTGTTTGGTTTCTGTGCTTTCTTGTGTATGTCTTGGAGTGCAGCCGAAGTTTGATCCATGCAGCACCAAATAGTGTCCCACAGCTTCTCAAAGTCTTTGATTCACTCTACTCGCCCTGTGTTTGGAGTGTAAGGATTCGGAGCCATCCTGTAGGCAACTAGCTGTCAAGTTACCATCTGTGAGGCTGGGTACAAACTCTTCGAGATCACACTTTCACGTGGATATGGAGATGACCAGCTTCGGGAAGACCTGAAAGTGACTTGTCTGAGATGACTGGCATGGAAAGTGAAACGGCGAGATGACTGGCATTTGCAGGCTCTTTACACTGCCACCATCAAACAGCCCATGAGCTTTCTGTTCACCGACGTATCTCGGCAAGCCCTTTGATCAGTTGAAAGACCTCAGAGCTTTCCTTGCTACTAGTAGCTTCTTGTTACTAGTAGCGATGGCCTAGTAGTGATGGCCTCCACCCTAGTAGCGTTCTTGCCCTTAGTAGTAATGGCCTCCACCCTAGTAGCTTCTTGTTACTAGTAGCGATGGC